ACTGTGTAGGCTGAAGCCCCTGTGGCAGTGGGTAGCGATGGGCTACCGTGTGTAGCCAGCAGCCAGCATGAGCAGCCAGCAGCCCCAGTGAGTGGCCGTCCAGAAGCCAGCGACTGATCTGCCTAGCCCGGGAAGAGCGCAATGATGGTGCCAACTTGGGCCAGTGAAGCAACATCCTCCACAACTAGACTGAAGAACAACACAACAGCAACTTGTCTGTTCCCCTTCCCCCAATTCCCCAGCACTGTTCCTATTCCCCCAATTCCCCAATAAAAATCTTAAAAAAAAAAAATTGTAAACACTGATGCCCATTAAGAAATAATAAATGGATGAAGGGTATCATCTCTTTGGCCAAGGGTCATATAAATTTGAATAATTAAGAATTAATTTTATGGTTCTGAGTCAGTCTCAAATTCAAGATTGTTCAAGAGAAGAAAAATCTACATTACGAAAAATTTAAAAATTCCTAAATGACTGAGTAAATGAAATGTGGAAAGTAAAACTCAGTGGGGATAAAATTTTCATTTATTTTTTGTCATCAGTTGTGCTTTGTACTTTTCAGAATGTACACATGTGAGCTGGGGAAGCGTTATTCCATGGCGGTGAGCTGTGTGAGTGCATAGCTGTAAGAGAGGCACACAAACCAATGTGAGTAATAGTCAGAGCTCTTGTCTGGCTTTCAGTGATTGTTCTTTCAGAGTATTCAGTGTATTATTCAAAAGTCTTATATAGAATTACAGATGGCCAACTGTAGCTCAGTGATAAATTTAAATTTTATGAAACATAATGATTAATGCATAAATGAATAACAGCATAATTACAAAAAGAGACATTGATGTGAGAATGATTCTACAGATGAGGGGTATCATGACACTTCCTGGGTTTTTGTGAATAATAGGGTTTTAAAATTATTATTATTGAATTAATGAATGAGCCAATAAACAATGTAGAAATGAATGCAGGAAAAGAGGAACAATATTGGATCGATGATGACTACTGGTGGCGTATGAGTCATGTACGATGAATACGTGTCTAACTCTGAGGTCCAACAGAATGGAATTTGGTCCATTGTCCTGTTAGAAGTGACTCTATAGACAGATATCAGGAATATATGAGGATCTGGTTTTTCTTTTTTATGTTCGTGCATTTTCTTTCTATTTGTATAATTGGATCCATGAAATCAACAATCAAATAAATAAATGAAACTGGTGAAATATTGTTCAATTATAAAAATATGTGATAAGACAAGGAATTGTATTAATGTATATTTAAAACACTGATCTCTATAAGGAAATATATGGTACAAGAGTGTTATTCTTTTACTGAGGATGATGATATACTTATTAATAAGTAATAGTATTCTCTATCAGTAGCTAGATCGATATTATTTGTTTACTTAGAGAAGATAAAATATACATTATTCCAGTTCACTGCTTGATAATAATTGACTAAATGAAAGGTGAACGCAAAGACCAATGAACCTCAATCTTTTTTATCATCTGCTTTGTCTCGTACTCTGTAGTATGATGTCACTCGAGCTGATTTAAGCGTCATCGATGTTAATAAGCTTTATGGTTGCATCTGTGTGGTAAAAGCGTGGAGACTAATGTGAGTAAGAGTCACATTCTTTTTTTGGTTTTGTGGTTTTTAAAAAGGTTTTCACCACGTTATGAAAAAGTGTGAAATATAATCACTGACCATCAAACATTGAAAACAGTAAAAATGAGGTTCATATGAAGCATTATGCTAATTAATCTGTATAGGAAATATTGAAGTCAATTAATGGAAGATATATTGTCAGTGAGAAGTAATTCTGTAGAATAATGTTAGAGATATTCAAGATCTTTTCAAGTTTTTTATTTGTAGTTATTTTATAATTATTAATGAATTGATGAATTAATAAAAACATGTAGATATTATTGAAAATGATGAGGGTCATCCATGGATAAATGAGGCCAACTGATGGTATATGAGTCTTGATGAGGAATATCACAGGTCTGGAATTCTGAGGTCCAACACAAAAGAAACCCTTTTTTCCCCATTTGAAATGATTCTATAAAGAGATGTCACACATATAAAGACCTTGTTTTTGGTCTTTGTGAACCTGATCATTTAAAAATATTATGATAAAGGTTCATTGGCAAGATAAATAACTGAATAAAGCTGAGCAGTGTGAACCATTGTTTATTGCTAAAATTCCTAGTAAAAATATTAATATAATCGGAATGGGAAATAAAAGATTCAACTGTATATATGTCTTTGAGTAAGAATGATAGACAATTATTAGTTACTGAGTTAGTTACAACTTTGATGTTTGATTGTTTTACCAGAAAAAGAAACAAATATTACTATAAATTAACAAATGCCTAAATTATTATGCAAATGAAATTTTAAATATAATTTAATTAGTATCAATGAAGAGACTGTCTCAATACTTTTATCATCTCTCTACTTGGTACTCTGAATGTATGCTGAAGTTCACTTCCACTTCTGCCATGTGACGATTGTTGTGTTGCTTCTGTGTCTAGAAAG